CTATAAATAGAGAGAGAGAACGCGAAAGTAGAGAGCAGATTCGGAAAGATTGGTCTACTCTGACTGACTGATCTTTTCCATTACCTACTACTCATTTATTTTATTTGGAGATGCTAGGAATGAAAACAGATCTCTATGAATAACATGCATCTTTTCAGTGAGTTATAGTCCCTTTCTAATCATATAGGCAGGAGTAAGCAACCTGGTGCTTGCCAGTTGTTTTGGATTTTAACTTTCATCAGGCCCAGTGAGGGACCAATAGCAAAATATTGTAGGTGTTCTAATCTAAAACATCTGGATTACCTGTCCTTGGAATAGGGTTAGTTATGAGGTGGATTAGACAAACTACTTCATAGGCAACAACTAGGCAACAGAGCTCTTAATGCTTGGAATAAGATGAAAAGTTTGCAAGATGGCTCATAACTTCACACAGATTCCTACAAACAGGTCTACAGAGTGAATCTGATATGTAATACTTACTATGTTCAAGGTGAACATGGATTGGGTGGTTGAGTTTGGCAGCATTGCCAATACTGCCATAGAACCAGCAAACTCCAGGATTAATTTATCATTGTGCAGACTAATCACAGGTACATCAGTAATTCCTACGCTCATAATTACTGGAAGTGGCTCTACATAAAGTTGAGCAATCTGTAGAGTTTAAAAGCAATAAAAGGTATCAGACCAAGTTTCAAGAAAGTTAAAACAAAATGTTTTTAAAAAATGTAAACAGCAAGTTTTGAAGAAATAAAAACACTTACAGTGGGAATGATGTTTTTCAATGTATCTGTGGTTAAGTTGAAGTAAGAAGAAAGCTGTAAAATGAAACGACATGTTAGATTATCTTATGAAAATTATATGCTTTTGTGTGGGCCTAATTATCTAGTGCAGTGTTTTTCAACCTTGGCAACTTTAAGATATGTGGACTTCAACTCCCAGAATTCCCCAGCCAGCTTTCACCTGATGTTTCCAACAGAGGCTGGACAGGTCAGTCATTTACCAGGGTGCTTTAATTTGGCTGCCTAAATGCCATGTTTTCATTTTTTAAGAGTGTATTGATCCAGTCTTCTTACTAGCAAAAGGAGTTTTGCTAATGCTTTGTTCAAGAATACTTCTGTTTAATAGAAGCCTTTAGTACATATTGTAGCCGTAGACAAATTAAGCCTGAAAAATACTATTCCCAGTTCTCTTTGGAGGCTGAAAAGGTAATTAGCAAGGAAGGGACAGAGTTGCTCTATTATTCCTTCAATATTTATATTTATATTTATTTATGTATTCTAGTGGCAAGAGGAACAAGGAGAAGTTTGGAGGGAGCCTTGTGTATAATTCCCAAAGTTTTAGCATTCTGTTTTTATTCATTAAACCCTGGAATACTAAGGTACATTATTAAGTAGTTCTATTCTAGTGCTCCCCCAAATGAAAGCAAGTCATTAGATCCCACCCTAACCCCAACACATCACTAAAGATTAGAGTTTGATGCCATTTGGAATTCCTTTGGAATAGGACATGAGTCAAGAGGTGCTGTATGAGCTGTCATCTGATAGAGCACACCTATAAATAAATAGATGTATTGGAATGACAACTTCCAGAATCCCTATGCTTGACAATGTAGTTGTCATGGAAAAATTCCAGAGGGCTAGCAGAGTGGGCCCATATAAAGCCGAGAGGTCAGGCAAATGTGAAGGGGAAAAGGGCTGATATTACTAAGTATAGTTTGCAACTATTAGATGTCTTTCTAGGGATTTCTTCTGCATCCAGCCTTCCATAACAGTTTTCTTCTTTGGCCACTTCTCTTTGGCAAGATGAAATCCTCCTCTGCATTAATTCCTACTTCACACAGCCTTATGAACAGCCTGAAGTGCTGTCCACCCAATCTTGAGTAGACAGAAACTATGTCTATATGAAATTTGCTATCCCTATTGCCAATCCCTAACTTGCTTCTGTTGCTGCTCAGCAACAGGATAAGGGGATAACATTCTGGACAGGATAAGGGGAAACATTCTGCTTCAGCACCAGGACAGCTAAGGACAGCTGAAGCCTGATTCACTCATGAGCTGGGGATGTGATGAAGGCAATACCTTGGGAACATGGCAGAAAACAAGTTTCACCTGGGCATGTTTGTACCATGGCTAGGTGCAAGTGGGAAAAGGCCCATAATAAACTATGCCAAAGAGAGGCTAGGCTTGGGTAAGATTTTAAACAGCAGACTGATATATAAAATCCTGTTCTTTGAAACATAGCATTTTTGCACTTACTCTTTCATCCTGTTCAGCAGAGTTGTCAAAACTCCTGGATGTGTAATAAGCTAGTAAAGCAGACTGAAAGAAATATTCTGAGATTCCTACATAGATCATAGAGTTGTTCTCATCTGGAAGATCGAAAGCGGTTGGCTTGAAGGGTGGCTCTGTGATTTTTTCCACTGGATAGACTGTTACCTGAAAGGAATTGCACAAATGACAAGATATCATAGCTTGCAAAACTATGGGCTTTAAAACAAGGTCAAAAGTTTTCAGGGAACCAGATCAAAATTAAAAATGGCTGTGTCCAGCCCTCCAGCCTGTGTTCTTTTACTCCCTGTTCTTGCAAGGGTGATTTTCTACTTCTCTCTTCCCCTTTTGGTTTGGTTTTATTCTCTGCCAGATTTACAAAGCAGTGGCACCAACACTTGTATGGTATTTTACAAGAATTTAGTTGCATTGAGGAGCTAAGCTGCAGTTGGTTTTGCCATCCTGATAGTCCATGTAGAGTCACCTTGAGGCCCTCTAGAAAAACATTGAAAAAACACACACACACACAGACACCAGTGTTGTTGTCAAGTAAAAGGGATGGCAACAAAAAGTATGGGAAGACAGGGAAAAAAGAGCATACATTGGAAAGGGGAGCATCCAGGAATATAATACTGGGAAATTTTGTTTCTCCAGGACATCTTTCCTTCCCCATAGGTAGCTTTTAATATCCTATTTTTGGTGCTTCTCTGCAGGGCCAGCTTAGAATGTATCTCCCCATCTTCTCCATCCCTGCTACAAAAGCAACATGTAGTCTTGATTACAGCTACTGGGGAAAAGTGCCTGTTTGTAAAATTGTTGCCATCAATCCTTTATCTGACAGCCAGCAATGGACTTTAGAATGCAGCAGAGGAATGGTGGCTTGGTGGCTTTTCAGCTACCTTTTATAGCAACCTCTCAGAGTTTTTTCAAACAGCTATACAAGTGTATACAATATTTTGCATGAAGTTGTTCCAGGACTTACAGTAGCTGCAGATGGGCCACTGATTGATTGACATTTTCGGGGATTGACATTTTCGGGGATTGACTCACAAAATTCCCTGATTGTTCTGTGTGTTCTGAGGTCTGTAGGGGTGAAGATGATCACTGAGCTGACCAAAATTGTTTTGGGGAGACTGGAAATTCGAAGCAGTGCATATAGATGTCCCTGAAATCTTGGGACCATTTTGGTTTCAGAACTCTTGCCACTGACTTCAGCACTAGAGGGGGCAATAATAGGTGCAGCAAAAAATAGCACTATGTTAAATACCTGTTTGATATGGTTTGCCATCAACATTAATTAATGTTGAACAGATGTTTCTTATTGCAATTTCAGAAAATGTACATTATAAATATATTGGACTTTACCTTTAAATCCAAGTCAATTGATGATTCAGAGATAGATGAACTGTTTATCAGAGAATAGTCTATTATTTCAAAAGGATTGATCTGAGTTTGGGCTGTTGGGATATGGGATAAAATAGTCATGATTAGATAAAGATACTCAGTGACAATAGGCAGAATGCAAACTAGTTCTGAAAATGATTTTTTTTTTTTGGTACTGCATAATCCTAAGCATGTTTACTCAAGCATAAGTCCCCAGATTTATATATTTCTGCCCTACCCTATAGATGTTCACTTAGCATCAACTAGAATTTTGGTCTTTTTGCTGTGACTGCATCCTTCCTAATGTTCTCCTACCAGAACAAGCCACCTCCCATTGACAATCTAATTGATTTTCCTGCTCATTGCAGAAGGTTGGACTAGATCTGGGTGTCCTTTCTGACTCTACAGTGTTATGATTCTATAAAACAAGCACTGAGTTTGTTACAATAATTTTTTTTTTTAGTTATGCAAAAGTATCATTCCAGTCATCTTTTTTATTTTAAGGAACTGAATAATAGCATGACAACACTAGTCTATCAGAAAAACTGGAAGATTACATAAATGCTAAAATCATTAGCTTATTTTGTCAGAACAGCCCAGAAAATATACCTGGACACTTGCTGAATTCTTCATTAAGCAGTTGGATCTCAGAATCCAATTTTGGACACAACTATAGAAATGCAAGCAAAAATTATTATTCTGGTCAATGTTTACTTTATATGTTGGTCATAAGATCTTCCTTAGACTTCATAATTCTGTATATCTGTACTTATAGCTTGCTCTATCTTGGATTCGGAAGAATAGTGATTATAAAAATCCATCCATAATGGAACACGTTTATTATAATCAAATATATAATCAGTACTTATAAATCTCACTCTAAGTGTTTTGTCTCTTGCCACTGAAGTTTACAGAAGCAAAGCAAAGCAGAATATTTCTGAAAAATATCCAAGCATCGCCATGGATATATTTCAAAAGGAAGGAAACTCCATAATTCTGGAGCACATACCAAGAGAACTTTTCTAAAGGCTGCTTTAAAAAACTGAATATACTCATTCAGTTCTCTGAATGAGTGCATCACTATAGTCAGAGAGACTATATTTAAGCAGAGAATGTAATGTAAAACAGCAATCCATAAATTAAGAATGATTTTCATGGTTGAGCTGAACAATAAATATCCCAGATGGAATGCTTAGAATACGTTGAGTGATGACATCTTGAATGTTTAAACTCATCCTGTTGTGTACTACATATGTGAAGAAAATAAAGACAAGAAAACATTTGCCATGACATATAATTTACCTGACCTGATATTTAAACTTAAAATGCATTGACCCTAATTTCTAAGCCACTGAAGGCTCCTTTTCTTCCTGTTCTACCATGTGATCTGAGCAAAATAAACCATGCCTAAAAAAATAGAATGATTCATATCTGTCTGTCTCTATCATCTCCTATTTATCAAATGTTACACATGAAACAGCCTTATGAAAACATTCATATGCAACATTAAAGCACTTCTTATGGTTTTGAAGTGGTTCGTTTTGAAAATGTCTCTCTCTATAGTAATTCATGTGCGTAAGTGGCACACAAGTTGCAAACTGCTAATTACTTATAACATCTTTGCATGTATTGAAGCTTCTGTTCTTTATTTTCTTTATTTTTAATAAACAAGCTTTTTTGGAAGAAATTGGAGGTAGGAGGGAGATGTTATGGAATAAATCCTTGTGGCTTACACTTGAGCCCACAAAGATACACAGAGGCTCTATCAGAGCAGTGGTAAAGTATGTATTCACCCATCTGAAAAAAAAAAGAAAAGCAAGAATATAATTAACTTGTGGTAATTAAATGTTGTATATGTGCAACTATTATATGGGGAATCATATAAAAACTAGATTTTTAAATGATTCTGGATTTTTTTTAATTGATCACCTTTGTTTTGAAGAAAAAGCAATTGTGATGTTCTTTCTTGAATGTGGTTTGAATCATAATTGAAGTCCTGTACCAGTTTTCTACTAAATGTTTCCCAATTAATTTTTACTTAAAATACTGTTTATTCCCCGCCCCCCCCCAAAAAAAAAATCTGAGGAAGGACAGTTTTTTACTGAGAAACTGCTGGTATACATTCCAGATTGTGGCCATGTGACCGATATTTCCTTAATTTCCTTATTAAGACTATTAGATATAGATGTCTTCCTTCTTAGTCAAATGAATCACTTGCATCTGTCGAGTCAAATATACTGAACTATCAGGAGGAGTGAGTCTCAGAAATCTACAGTAACTGCTAGGCTTGCTTTCTATAATATTATGGAATATATTATTTGTAGGCAATTATCAATTTGGTAATGCTCCTCAGTTTATGTAACTTCCAAAATAGCTCCTAAATTTGTTTTAGTGTTATTTATTTTAATGTTAACTCTTGATATTTGAATTTTCAACATGGCTTCTTTTGGTCACATTGAGGACTTTTTGGGACATTAGTTTAGTAGTCTGGGAGTTGCTAAAATATACCACTTATGTGAGGTTCTGATGACCCTGGAAGCTCTATTCTAGAGGAATGACTTTTGATGCTTATCCTTCCCATACTTGAATCTAGTCATGTGACAATTCCCAGTCATCCAACCACTGTTATGCCAAAGTATCAATAAGGGCTGCCTTTATCTCATTTCAGTGATGGCTGAGTGATGTTATAAGGACACTATATATTACTAGAGAGAAAGTTATCTAAAACTGGCATAAAAAGAGTGGCAATGAATGCATGTCCCATATATTCCAAAGAAGAAAGATCAGAATAGAAAGAGCGTGTAGAGCAGTGGTTTCCTTACAGTTAACATCAGTAAACATCCTTATCATATGTTCTCATAGAAGCATCGTGACTATTTTATTGTGTGTCAAACCAGATAAATATTGTCTATATCTATCTTTCTCAATCTGAGACCCTTCAAGTGTGATGGTCTAGGCCAAGGTTTCCAACCTTGGAAACTTTAAGATGTGTAGACTTCAACAGAATTCCCCAGCCAGCCCTAAGTCCACACAACTTAAAGTTGCTGAGGTTGAGAAACACTATTCTAGAGCCTCAGTCTGTCTCAGTCATCTGGAAGTTGCTAAGTTGGGGAAGATTTGTCTGTATTGTCTAATATAGGTATGTTGCTGGGGAAAGCTCATCTGATATTGCTCATGTGATATTTCTGAGGCCTGGGTGGAGATGCCAGAGACTGGAAAAGAACAGAGAGATAAAATTTGAAGCATGGACCTTAACATCTGCTGTATTTAGGAATGTGTTCCTTTCATTTCAGTGTAACATTCTCCCAAGAGAATATATGCTATATCCTGTACTTAACTTTAGGGGGAAATGAGATTAATACAGATATACATTTAGGGTAATGATATATACCAGTGTTTAAAAACTGGTCATAAAAGTGTTTTAGGAATCCTAAAATCAATACATACAAGTATACTCTGAAAAGGGCCTTCTGACACTGATTTATTTTATAATTAGAATAATTTTCCACCATACCTATAAGCTTGATTCAGCTGGATGTCAATATCAGCTACTACTGTTTCACAGCTTTCAAGTGACAATTTTAGACAACCCGATACACTGTGAGATACTTTTACAACCGCTGTGATAGACATTCCTGAAATGAAGAAACTCCCGCTTCCAGAATGTTTGCTGTTGACAATAAAACATGAAATACTCACTTTAACAGTTTGCTCTCAAGAAAATGCCAGGAATGCTTAAGTTTTAGTACACATGGAGAGGGGTTCTTTTTAGCAGAGATAATATAACATTGCTAAAAATGTCAATGCCTGCCTTCCAGATATGTCACATTACAACTCCAATCATTTCCTGCAGGCCTGCCTGGATAGCACCAAATTAGAGAAACTTGATACAAAATCTAAGCTGTGCCTAAATACACCAGAAGTACCTATCAGAAAGGCAAACACCCCCCTGCCCCCATATGATGTAACCTCCTGAGGTTTATTCAGTGGGCACACACTTGCATTCTTCAAAGCTGGTTCCATCTGTAGGTAGAATGAGACCATTGTCTCTGGCAGCAGATGCTGGGGACAGCAGGAACTGGATGCTGGTTGCTCCCCTTAACTTCCTGAATCTCCCCATTTTCTATGTGTGCCACGCTAAAGCTAACTTATTAAAAGGAGTTGATCCAGGTTTTCTCTTTGCCTGCAAAAATCCAGAAGTTGGGGCTTCTTAGGCTGAAATATGTCTAAATACGTATTTCTTCAAGAGGCAGACTGTCTTATTTTGCAAAACAGCAGAAGTTTTTATCCCTTTGCAGCACCCTCCAAGGAACTCAGGACGAAGCACATAAGCCTACATCATCATCATCATCATCATCATCATCATCACTACTACTACTACTACTGCAATACAGGCTAATTTTTAAAATGAAAGTATAATGATTAGTTTGCCTTTGTGGTTGTCTAGTATATTCTCCAGTTCCAGGTTCCTTCACCATTCTGCCTTGACAGTGTCCCTCCTGATTCAAATAGCAACTCTGGGGAAGATTTTTTGACAGGACCACAATGGAATAAAAGACTTGCATTTCCACCTCTTCTTCCTGGGACTATTATTTATGCTTTATAAAATCTGTGTAAGCATTTGAATTTGTAAAGTTAACATGATATTAACATCAGCCTTGATTATTTCACTTACAATAGCCAGGTCTTCACGCTCCAATCTGCACTAACTGTTGCTGAAGCATCTTTAACTACTAGTTTAATCCCCGTTCCAGAAATGAGAGACAAGGATGTATTGGGGAATTCCACGTTATCAATTTTTATCCTGTCAAACACCAAGACAAGTTAGCTTGATTTGCATCCAAATCCATGAATATAGGTAAGGTTAGCTTCAAGCATAAACAGAGCACAATCCACCATCCAATTTCTGGAGAAACACCAAGCACCTACAGATTTTGTTTCATGCATTGATATCCAGTTTTTCTGGCACTGTGGGACTCAGTGGGCTCTACATGAAATTTTTAGATGATGTTGGCCAAACTACATTTATCTAATTTATTATATTTGTGTACTGCCAAACAATGACTCTTGGTGGCTTCCCTTATAACAATATAAAACAGAATGAAAACCAGAGATCAAGATAAAACACAGGTTTTTTTTTCATTATATCACAGGCAGAATCATGACTATTTACTTCCCAAAGACCCTCCAGAAGAGCTTGGTTGCTAGTTTCCAGAAGACCAGTTATAATTCAACTGGATATTTAGAAAGGATGCTGCCGTAGGGGAGCCATCATTTGATGTAATATTTTTTTTTGTATATTCTTAAGCAATTGAGCATACTCATATAAGAGAATAACTAGGCCTTCTATGTTCAGTGCCTGAATATACATTGCTCTGTGTTGTTCAAAACAAGGCTGTGTTTGCTAACCTCAATTAGTGACTCACACATGATACCAGTTTATCTTCTACCATGTGTGACACTTTGAGATTACTGGCTTAATTGTACAGACTAGAAATAGCTGTGGTGTCCTTTTCCATAAAAGCAAAGATAAGAGAGGCACATTACTAAATTGGGCTACATGAAACACTGATCAGCAACTAGGAGATGGCTAGAAGGTAGACATAGCAGGTGATATCTCCAATTGGAAACCAGGTTCCAATGAGCACAGAACAAACTCCTAGATTCATTCATCCATTTCAAAGCTGAAGCTGAAAAGAAGATCAAATAGGTTTTCTGGGTGTGGCAAAGAACCCAAACTTTTGGAAATCTGTGTTGTGAGAGTGCTTGTTCACAGACACTGTTGGTGACTGATGAGGTGCCACCACCCAAGAGGGATAGAAAAACCATTGGAAGTGCTTAACACTGAGCTGTACAAAAGGGCCCTGGTATGGAAAGAACACTACTTACTTTGAAACTGTGTAGTTGAATCCAATAAATCCATATGTATCTTGTCCACTCTGGTCTTTAAAGGTCTCTTCCTTTAATCTCTGCTTCAGAAACTCTATACTAGATTGCTTACCTACAAGCACACATCATGTGTTTCACTGAAATAATGAATAGTTTATAGAAATTTATGTCACCTATCCTTCTGGTTCTTCTATACTTTTATCAGTCTGGAGTGATTGCTAGGAATGACTTCTTACATTTAAGTTAATAAAGGTTTTTTTTGCCCTTCTGGATATATAGTAGCATGCTTTTGTAGTTTCTGGACATGATTACTAAAACATTTTCAATGGCAGAGCAGTAATTTTGCCCTTGAAAATGGCTTAGTCCATCCTCTGCAGAACACTATTGAAGATCTCCTAACAGTTATTGAGGGCCATGTATTATTTCTTCAACAACAACAATATCCCACATTTCTTGTAGGAACTCAGAGACACATTATTTGGTAACATTTCTTAACTGGTACAGTCAGGGCTGACATTTGATTCAACATCTTAATTCAACATCCTCTGGTGCACTCCTTCTTCTGAAGGTTGCAACATAGTCATAATTTCAAATATTTCTATTTCATACTCACCATAGTCCAATGCTTTCTTTGTGATTTTCACCTTGATTCCTGGGTTAGCCTCAAGAAGCAGGCTGGATAGGCTCAGGATGAGGAAGATGACAGAAACTTTCATTCTCTTTGTCCCTCTCTTTTTCCCTTTCTTCACAGAAATGTATAGATATTATAAATTAACTCAATTTCTTCACAAAAATTTAAAAATATTATGAATTAACTCAAATAACTTGGTGACTAAATATGTACTTTTTAGCTAGCTGACCACAGTCTCTTTCTTTCATTTGTTTAATTTTTTTCCAGAGGGGGAAAAAACTCCGATCCTTAAAACTTAGCATCTTAATCATGAAAAGGCAATTATAAAGATGTGGCGAAGACATTCTGCACTTTCTCAGAGTCATATTTTTGTTTATATATCAGAGGACTGAACTTTGGAATAAAATATTGGTAATATTAAACTCTTCTTCATTTCTAAGTGCTTTGTCATTGATTACTGTGAATGTCCAGAATTTCATTTTTCTTATGACACTTTGCATACAATGAACTGGGATCAGTGAATACATTATAATTTAGACTAGGATGAGGTTAAACTTCACACAAAAATTAGCAATAAAATTATGCATAATAGTGAATAGCTAAATTGGCTTCTTTTCTAATGAAAATAAAGCAGTCTGCTTTGATTGTTGAGAGACAGTTGTAATTTAACTGAAACAAGCCTTTATCAAAGACTAAATGATTTGCTTGAAATTATGCAGACAAAACTCTTTTGTGTTCAATGAAACTTACTCTCAGATTAACATGCATCAAAACAATAGTCTTTGATTACCATAGGTACACATTTTGCTGGAATTAATCTTCATACCACAATATCATCTTCTGCTGGTCAAACAACTACAGTGCAAAAAAGTGAATGTCCCTGTGCCATAACCTCAATCTGAAGTGTGAGCGTTCAGGGTTATGCTACCCGGTCTGGGCCATGCAAATCTAGTTGACCATTAGATAGCAGCAAGGAGATACAGAAAAATCTAACTCTTTTCTGCTTCCATTTGGGAGTTTTGCAGACGAGATCTGGAAACCCTTCTCCATGGCTGCTTTTACAAGAAGAAAATGATGTTAGGAGGTATAGTGCCAGAACTCTAACCCATGTTCTTTATAAGACTCTGAGAGGCCTGGGGGCAAAATGTTCATTTGAGCATGCCCTATCCACACACACTTTCTTCTCACCACACCTTATGTCAATGTAATTTCTCTCCTGCACTGTTTTTTTCTCCATTACAGGTAGCAACTCAATAATTGGGAGAGTCTATGTAAAGAAATACTGAAATAACCTTTGTCATATTTTAACGGAGTAATTTTGCCTTGAATGAAAAATATTTTTTGTCATTTCAAATAGTAAGCTACACACTTTGGATGGAGCAGTATCCCCTGAAGAAAGAAAATTGTACTGGCTCAGACTCATAGGGCTTTAATCTTAAACATACTTACTGGGAAATAGTCTGAGGCTGCTTATGCATATTTCTGAGAGAGAAAGCCCCACTGAGATCATATTTCTAAGTTATCATGCTTACGACCATATTGCATCTGTAATAATGTGTTGTCATATGAACAAACTGTAATAAGATAAATATTTATATTCATGCCTTATGCATGTGAATTCCAAAAAGCAATTTACAAAGACAAATCATTATTATTTGTTAGACTGAGAGCCTGCATTTTCTATAGAAGCTCATGGCAGCTTACATAGTGGGCTTTATCACAACAACATCCTTGTGAGTTGGTTGTGCTTAAAAAGACTGGCCCAAGGTCATCCTGGAAGCTTCCATTGCTGAGCCTGGATGGGAATGTGAATCCTCCTGCTCTTGGTCTAATATACAACCATTATACACTAGTTCTCAATGCGATAGAGTGGCTAATTTTTATCACAACTAGTTTTTCCTGCTTCTAACAATAAAAAAATTCTTTCTTTGTACAAACACCATCTTTTTAAAAATGCTTACTATCCAGAACTCAAGGCAAAAGTGCTAGGCAGATGTAATTAGCCATATATCATCCATATGCTCCACAGATTCTAATGAAGATAGAATCATAAATTATGTATCTTCCAAATGACCTGGCTGCTTCATTGTCTAGTACTGTGTTTCTCACTGTGAAACTCTGAAAGTAGTGATTCTCAACCTTGGCAACTTTAAGATGTGGTGACTTCAACTCCCAGAACTGGGAGGCTGGCTGAGGAATT